GAAGAAAAAAAAGAGTCGGCAGGCGTTGTTTGGCAAATAACATGGGTGCCTAGATTATTCTACCGCTGCCGCATCGTAGATTGGATTATTTTATCATCAGGTGTGGGCTGTCAGGCGGAGATGGGATAGTACTAGTAATTAACCACCATCACATCGGCTAGGCGACAGGTGCAAACCATCATCTGAAGCAACGTCCGTGACAAATCAAAAGGCTCAAGAATGGGAAATGGACAAGAACGACAAAAGGTGGCCGTGGGGCTAGCGATCGGGGGCAGAGCATGTACCAACTACCAACAACAAACAGACCGGCCGGAAGACCTCGGAGCTGTACTGTACCAGCTCAGCAACTGTTTGGGACACACAAAAAATCACATAAATCATATAGAGATTTCGCATAAATCAGTTTAATTTTATAAGAAAAAACACATGATTTAAAGAGAAAGATCCTGCGTTCTGGACAAGATATCTCAAGCTAACAAATAGCGAAGAAGTTTTTGAGGTAGCCATATGGGAAAGAGAAAACTAGATGGATGGAGGATCTGTGAAAGGTTGAATGACGAGGGCGCATGCGCTGGTGAGCTCAATGGTGTCAAAGAGTGCCGAGAGGTGGGAGCGGGAGCCATCGAGGGTTGCCGAGAGGTGGAGCAGGAGATATGAAGTTGTGTGTTTTACTCGTCGGACGGCAGACAACCTAGAAATAATAGATAGAGGGAGGCAACATATGGCCTTTGTACAAGCATGTGTACTTAGTGTAGTGAGATATGGTGTCAAAACGTCTCAACAAAACCATCTAGGATTATTTTAATATTATTAGATGCTTTAAAGACTACCATATCAGATTTTATAGTTAAGAGGGTTATATAGTCAACTCTTGATGTGATGGTGGTTATGTAGGCATGTTCTTACTAATTGCTAACTATAGTTAGCTCTTGATGTGGGGTTATTTAGGCGGTCTGGCATGTTGTTTACTAATTAAAGTAGACTCAATAGTTAGGGGGGTTAAATAGACTTTTTTCTAGAAAAAATTATAGATTAGTTCATTGGCCTGTGTCATGTCAACCCAAAAAAAACAAGGGGGGTTAGGTACTATGGATATTGGTATACAAAATAAGGGCTTTCAAAATTAAAAAATCCCAAAGGGTTATTTAGAGGTCTGCGAGTGTGAAAAGTAAAAAATACCCTTATAAGGGTAGATTATTTTTTGAGTCAAATTTGCAAAACTAGAAAGTTGTAGATCTCGTCGAGATCTATAAATATAAATTATTTTCATTTAATTCCATAAAAAAGATATAATTTGATATATTTAGGGGGTTAAAAATCATATCTTTTTTTTGCGGAATTAAATGAAAAAATTATAGATTAGTCATTTCTAGTTTTGAGTGTCATGTCAACTAAAAAAAAAAAACAAGGGGGGTTAGGTACTATGGATATTGGTATACAAAATAAGTGTATGTTGGGTAAGTGTCTCTTTAAATTAAACAATGAATAAATGAATTGGGTGGTCTCTTTAAATTAAACAAATATTGAAGAAACAAATATAACAAATATATTAAAGTTAAGACACTATCAAAGGTAGAGAAAAAAGCAAGAGCTCATATTTTTGGATGAGACTCGTGAGCACAAAAGACCCTTTTCTAAGTTTGAGTACTTTCGGTTTAAAGAACAGTAACCAAATAAGGTTTTGAGAAGATACTTGATTAGAAAACCAATCACTAAAAACCTAATACCCAATGCTGTATAACATTGTCTGACGGAACAGGCAAAGGTTGAAGATGTATTAGATTTGTTTCCTCCTTAATGTGAATTAGGCATTAATGGAGAACAAGCTACTATAATGAAAGCACCTAATAGCAAGGCTGACTAATATTAATCTACAATATAGTAACATTTTTGTATGGAGATTACAAAAACATGTTTGTTCACAGTTAACTAGATGTACAGATACCCTACCTTCCTAGTAATGGGTTAGAAGTTTCATGAATCCAACATCTTTTCTTTTAATGCTCGTGCATCATGTTTTTTTTAGAGCGATCCATATGGTGCTAGGAATTATGCCACCTCGAAGTGCCGAAAAGTTATTTAGGGCTTATTCGGTTAGTGCCGGAATGAGCCTAGGAACCATTTAGGTTGAATACAGATTATACAAAATAGCTAACCATTCCGGCTGGGAATCTTTCCATAGAATTGTTCCTAACAAACCGAACCAGGCGTTAATGATTGGTATTCATAGAAAGATACAATTTTCATGTTTAGAGCGGTCATTTTATGGTTAATATGGATAACAAGGAACAAAGTTGTTATTGTTGATCCAAATCTCTTTTGCAGGTTGTAGTAAGGTGGCCTACTAGCTTCAGGATTTAAACCCAATTGCAATGGTACGACGATCTAAGTCCAATTGCAATGGTATGACTATGGATACACGCTTATGGCAGGAGCTCACTGAATTTCGAGGAATGTGGCATTGAGACTCTTTGACTCATTCAAATGGTATTTGATTAGTTAGAAATGGGTCTTAAGTTGTTTTGTCATAAAGTATTTTGTTTGCCTTGATCCCTTTTTAGTGGAGATAAACCTAGCGACTTGTTTCATTATTTATCTAATAAAAACTAGTATAGGATATTTGGAGGTCCAAATAACATCCATTCTCGTGATTGAGTCAACGTTTAAATACACATGGGGTTGCCTTCGTTGCCATTTATTTATCCATATGATGCGAGTACATACATATATATATTGACGCAAGTAGAATGCACGAATTTTGTCAAGATTTGATTTAGCTAATCCTATACGTTTGCTTGACTTGATCCGCGCCAAAGCAATCCAAAAGGTAAAACCACCAGAATCACAGTCAGCAGCACCGGCTTTGCATTGTTGTCTGCTTGCACGTAGTACAGCTGTACTACTACGACTAGGGCCGCGTTTAAACCTGCAGAATCGGCGCCGCCAGTCAGCAGCAGCGTTTTGTTTTTATTTGGTAATTTGCATCGTTGTTGTTCAAAAGCTTGCGTCTCGTGAAACGTAGTGCAATTAGTTTTGATTTGTACATTTAGTACTATACGACTAGGACAGAAGAACAGACTCCGTCCAAATTCTAGAATTTGGATGAACTAAACGTGGCCTAGGACAGAAGAACAGACTCCGTCCATTTCGCAGGCAGCCACCAAAACAGACCCCCTAGTACTAGTACTGTAGTAGTACGTAGGTGCGTTCCCGACACAATTCACGGTTTCCTTTGTTTTACTGCTGCCCTTTGTGCAAAGAAATTAGACATCTTATATTTTGAGGTGTCAAACTTTATATCTTCAAATATATTTATTAAAAAATATATTATATCGTTAGTTTAATAATACTTATTACACATAATTAATATTAATGTTTTATATATTTAGTGAAATTTAAAAGTTTGACTATTCAAAAAGCAAAATGTGCATTTTTTAGATGACATGGAAGTAATATATAAGCAGCAGCAGAAGCAGCTGTCAACACAACAATAATAATGGAAAAAAGATAGAAAAAAATGCTACAAGTGAACGCAACTAAAGATCCTGTTTGTATATTGACTAAAATAATTTGCTAATAAGGGCTGAAAATGCTATATAGCTGATTTAAATAAATACCCTAGATTTTAGATCAGTCTATAGTGCGAAAGGGCCTCTAGTCTAGTGGTTAGAGCACCTGAGTACCATTTAGCAGGCATGAGTTCGACTCCTTGTAGGAGCGAATTTTAACAGGCTTGGAATAAAAAAACCATTAACAAAATTAGTTGGAGTTTTCCCTGACGACTTGGATAAAAAAGATCAGTCTATAGTTTATTTTGAACTATTCAACATTTATAACTTATAAAAAGCTAGTATTAATGAGTCTCCTCTCTAGCTAATACTCCATCCATTCCTAAATAAATCAATTTCTAGAATTCGTGACTAATTTTATAAGAGTAACAATATCTATGACATAAAATGAATATATTGTGAAAATATATTCTATGATAAATCTAATGACACTAACTTGATATCATAAATCTTAACGCTTTATCCTAGAAATCCGGTCAAAGTTTAAAAAAATAACTTGAGAAAACTTTAGAAATCTATTTATTCAAGGATAGAGAGGGAGTATATCTTATAAATAATTTATAATTTAGCTGATCAAACTACAATAAGAAACCAGTTATTGCGAGCAGGCGAGGAAGGAGACGGGGAGGGTGAGCGGTACAGTGCCACTGCTTTTTTTTTTTCTTTTTTTATTGCAGTGCCACTGCCGTTGCCTAACGAGGAGGAGGAGAGGCCGACGACCATGACAGGCGGTAGTGGACAAGAAAGATCGCCTTAGAAATCTCGCAACCCACAAGGCAGCCTGGCCTGCTGTGTATGCTGCCTAATGGAGTAATTAATTAATTAATCAAATTAATTGCTCCCTGCCATAGCAAACGCCACCAGGAGAGAGAGAGAGGTCGAGCTTGCGCGTTCTCCTCTCGGTCTCGGGGATACACACCCACCTCGTGCTCCTGCATTCCCATCCCATTCCCATTCCCATTCCCATTCCCATTCCATCCCCTTTCCCCACCAGGGCGGCTTGGCTTGGTGAGGTGAGGTGAGGTCAGGTCCACCTCCTGCTCTGCTACTGGCTCTTCTTCTCTCCCGACCCGACCTCCCCCCCCTTCCCTCCCCAGCTGAGCTCTCCTTCCCCCAGCCCCAGAGGTGGGTGAAGTCGGGGGACATGGTTTCTTTCTCCACTTCCTAAGATTCCTCTTCTTCCCCAAACCCCACCTACACCTTTTTGCTGCGCTGCACGCCCGCACTGCGCCGCCCGCACGGCCTCTCCATGCGCCGCCGTATCTCAGGTCAGCATCACCAACCGCAGCACCACCTCCTGATCCCAGCCCCAATCTAGGAGGAAGAAGAGGAGCCGGAGGAGGAGGCCGGTCCAGGATTCTGCCGCCGCCCTCCCTCGGCCGCATCGCATGCTACCACTACCACGACCGACCACCAGCAGCAGCAGGGAGGATGTTCAAGCTTCACCGCCACCGCTCCTCCGACCGCGTCGGCGAGCGCTTCGACTTCAGATTCTCCAACTTCCGCGCCGTCCAGGTTGCTCTCTCTCTTCCTCCTGCTCTCCCTCCCTCCCTCCCTCCCTCCCTCCCTCGGGGGCTGTCCTACTCCTCTCCCTCAGTACCAAAATCGTTTCTTTTCCCCACTTCCTTCTTCCAGGGCCAGCCGGCCAGGGGAGGACAGACAGTACCAAAACTTGCTTACCCGATCCGATGCAAAACAGAGGCCCTGCGATTAGCATAATTTCTTCTCTTCTATCTACTGGAGTAATCGCTTTGCTGCTTGCCTTTCTTTCATCTCCTGATTTGCTCGCTCCCGGTAGGCAGAGGCCGCTACTGATGACAGACACTCGTCATTCAACCTACATTCCTTCACCTTTGGAGTGTTACATCAATGTAGGATCATACTCGAGATTACTAGTTCCTATCGTACACATTATTATGCCTCCTTGATTCTTGTCACCACCCTTACTCACGTCACGTGTGTGCCTACCTCAGAACCGCTCCTAAAAGGGAAACGGCAATCCCTATTGTTTTTCTGTACCATACCAACCTCATATGCAAATCGCATTGCTTCCTCTCCCAGTCTCCCCTGGTGATTCAATGGCTACCTTTTGCCATTCAGTCAGTCTACTTTCTCAGGGGGTTCAACTTTATTTCACGAGGTGCCTGCCATTCATTCATGTGTGCGTGTACCCCTGAAAAAAAAAAGATGGTCCTTCCTCTTCATTTTAACCACGGCCTATTAAAAGGGGATACCGCATTGCCCTCTTCTTGTATTGTGTGTGCCTTCTCATTCATTTCATATGTGTCTTTCCTGCAGTTTATTTTAGTTTTTACCCCATGCACTACATGACATGTATCCCCTTTTTTGTGTGTGTGTCTCATCGATTCATTTCATGTTTTTTCATAGGTCCCCGCGGTATCAGACAGGCTCTTCCTATCCATAGTTTCAGTCGACAATGGAAAAACAATTGCAAAGTCCAGTAAAGTAGCTTCTCGGAGTGGAATATGCCAGTGGCCCGACACCATCTTGGAACCCATATGGTTCTCCAAGGACGAAGTCTCCAAAGAATTTGAAGAATGCCAGTACAAGATTATTGTCTCCCTGGTATGTAATATGATGCTTGGATGTCCAGTTCTTGGAACCTACTTATGTAATATTTCCCCACCTTACCTGTTCTTGGATGTCCAGTTTCTGCTTCAGTCTCGGTGCTTATTACCTTTGTCTATCTACTCTGTCCTATTCCTGACGCTAGGCTTATTATTGGGTCACTAACAAATGCTTTCATGTAATGTTCCAGGGATCGACAAAATCTGGCATTCTTGGGGAGATTTTTCTAAATCTGTCTAATTTTCTGAATTTGGTCGATCCAACCGCAATTTCGTTGCCACTGAAGAGATGCAACTCTGGAACAGTTTTACAGGTGTGTTTTGCTTATTTATTACACCTCCTTGTTTTCAAGGGCCATCTGGGCATTGCTTGCAAGATTTGGTAGCCACAGAAATGCTGGTATTACATTCCCATCATAGCTGCCAACTGTTACATAGGTGCCTATTTCATGCTTGTACTTTTGGCATCATGCCTGATGGTGTCTGTCCTTAGTACTAATGTTGACGTTCATATTTTTCCCCTCACTTGCAGCTTAAGGTTCAATGTCTTGGCACAAAGTCTAAGCTGAGGTAACTAGACTGAAGCCTCAGTACTTCATTCTTGCCAAGTTCTGTTCAGTCTCTCTTCACTTCACTCAAATCCTGATAATTCTCCCATTTCTATGTAGTGGTGTCAGATCATTGAGGGACATGGCTCCCCGTCACGATGACCGTAGTCCAACGCCAACCAATGATGAGATGGACAACAGGTCAGATTGCTCCGATGGTATGTTCAACAAGGGTGTTCGTTCTTCATCCGAAAATCATCTGGGTGGAACTTATCAAGATGAATCTGGAAACAGGGTATGCTACTGCTTAAAACAATTTGCTGTCCCAAACATTACCCGTTCCATCCCGAGTTGTCGTTGGACTGTTTCTGATGCCTTGAGACATCTATCCCATTTTCACTGAAATTATTGATTACATGAATAATAGCATGGAACTTAGTTGCCAATGCTATATGTTCACCCTTGTAGGTAAAACACCCCATTTTGATGTTTCAATGTCAGAACCTGGAAGGGAATGAAAAAAAGAACCTGTCCGTGGATTTTTTTCTGCAAAGCTGATGAAATCCTTCGCCTTTAGTCATCAAGCAAAAGTCTTGAATTTTTTCAGTTATTGTGGGGTCTACTATCTTGCGCAAAAGCTATGATAAGTTCTAATTCCTACTCAATGACCTATTCATAAATCTAAAAAACACATAAAATTCACTAGTGATCAGCAGGCCACAAAAGTCATACTGTAAACCGCACGAGTACAATTATGCGCAGATGATCTCATCGTCCACAAAGGTTCCTCTGTTGCACATGACCTGCATGTATGCATAAATCCACAAGATACTCCAATGTGGAAGCTGGTGAACCTACCGTCATTACCACCACGGAGAAAACCTTTTTATGCCGTAAAGATATTTTTTGCATAACTCTTGGAAGCTCCTCGCATTTGGGTATAGTTTTCTATATGGACTGCAATTTCACCATCAGCAAGTGACATATTTTGGTTACATGTCATGCTCTATCAGAGTGTTATGTGTCCATGCTTATTATTTGTCCCGTCTTCTTTTTTGCAGGAAACAAGTTTCTCTGCATCAGGGTCCCATCGGAGTTCTAATTCTGGAGATAGTACTGCAGATAGAACAAACTTCTCTCCTAGAGACAACTCTAATGGAGTACTTTATGTGGGAAGGCAGGATTCTGCTAGTTCCTATGCTAGTTATGTTAGTGCTGGTCGTGGTGATGACGGGCTTAGATCCAACAATTCATCTTTTAGTTCTCGGGCTTCAGGCCCAAGTTTGCTGCAAGGGAATACTCCAAAAACATTTTCAAATGGCCTTTCTCAGTTATCTATGGGGGCATCTGACTCATCTAAAGATCTTCTTGAAGCTGCTGAAGAAACAATTGAGGAGCTCCGTGATGAGGCAAAAATGTGGGAACGCCACTCTCGCAAGTTGAAGGCTGATCTAGAGATGCTGAAAAAGGAGTGTTCTGAAAAATCAAAGCAACAGGCTGAGCTAGCAGTTGAGCTGTCTGCTGCACAAGCTGAACGGGATTCATATAGGCATGAAATAGAAGAATTGAAGTCATCCTTACAAGATGTAAACACACAACAAATAATTACAGGAACACCTAAACGTTCAGACTGGATAGACCTGCAGAAGGAACTTGAAGGTGAGGTTAAGTTTCTTAAAGAATCGAATACGGACTTAACCATACAACTAAACAGGACTCAAGAGTCAAATATAGAGCTTCTTTCTATTCTTCAGGAACTGGAGGAAACCATTGAAGAACAGAGAGTTGAAATATCTAAGATTTCGAAGATCAAGCAGACTGCTGATCCTGAGAATGAGCTGTTAGTAAAAGAAGACAAAGAGTGGGCTAAGAAACTGTTAATGAAAGAGGATGAAATCACAATTCTGAGGGAGAAATTGGATCGTGCTCTCAACAATGGAAATGGAGGTGGTGCAGGTTCCAATGCCATTTATCTTGAATTGGAGAAAGAAAATGAAATTTTAAGGGCTAAAATACAAGAGCTTGAGAAGGACTGCTCTGAACTAACAGATGAAAATTTGGAGCTTATATATAAACTGAAAGAAAATGGTCTGACAAAAGGTCAGGTTCCTCGTATTTCAAACAACACTGAGCTGCAATTCGAAGAGCTTACATCCCGGATTCATCAACTAGAGGAGGAACTTAGGAATAAGGAAATGTTAAGAGACGACAGTTTTTCTGAGTCATCAATGTCTAATGCAGATGAGTTACAGAGAAAATGTGCTGACCTTGAGCTGAAGCTGCTAAATTTTAGGTCTCAAACCTGTGAGCTTGAAGAAAAGTTCCAAAAAAGCCAAGAGGAGCTGGAACAAAGAAATCTCGAGTTATCTGAGCTGAGAAGAAAGATAAACGGTTTACATTCTACTGAACTGGAAGTTTGTGAATCTGGTGCGACATGGAAGTACCAATCTAGAATAGCAGATCTAGAGGATACTGAACAACCTGAGACAGATACACTAAAAGCTAGGTTTGAATTGCAACTACAGGAAAATGATGACCTTCGGCGTTCCAAGATCGAGATGGAAAATTTTATTTCTGAGATTCAGGCAGAGAAGAGTCAGCTTGTGGAACGCCTGTCCGCGTCGCTTAAAGAAAGCAGCATCACATCTAAATGCTTGGATGAAGTGCGGAAAGATATACTTGTGCTTTCCAGCAGTATAGATTCCCATGTTTCAACCAATAAGCTTCTTGAGAGGAACATAGTTGAGCTAGAGAGCTGCAAAGCTGAACTAGAGTTGCATGTATCGGAGCTGGAACAGGAAAACATAGAGTTGTCAGAACGGATATCTGGACTGGAAGCACAATTGACTTACCTGACAAATGAAAAGGAGTCAAGCGAGCTGCAGATGCATGACTCCAGATCTCTCATCATCAATCTCAAAGATAAAGTAGAGCGTCAGCAATCAGAGATGGAAACTCAAAGGCTCGAGTTTAAGCAGAAACAACAAGAATCTCAAAGAAGATTGTCAGAAGCACAAGATGATTCTGAAGTTCTGAGAAGATCTAATTCTAAACTACAATCTACGGTTGAGAGCCTTATTGAAGAGTGCAGTTCTCTTCAGAATCTAACTGCTGATCTGAAAAAGCAGAAGTTGGAATTACACAGTCATCTTACGCAAAAAGAGCAGGAACTGGACGAGTCGAAAAAAAGAAACTTTGAGTTTAGCAAAACAGTGGAGTTCCTTGAGGCAAAGCTTTCATCACTACAGAAGGACATTTCTTCTAAAGAGCAATCTTTATTGTCAGAATTGGAGACTATATTCCAGGAGCACATGGAACAAGAAGAAAGAATTAATCGCGCGCATTTCATGCTCAATAAGATCGAGAAAGAAAAGACTCTTGAAGTAGAGAATCTTGAGAGGGAGGTCGTCAGCTTCACTGCACAGGTCTCCTCCACGCACGAGGAGCGAGAAAGTGCCACTCTGGATGCTATTCGAGAGGTATCTGTCCTGCGAGCAGACAATGCTAAACTTGAGGCTAATCTCCAAGACGTCAGTGCACAAATGAGACATTACGAGTCTCAGTTGGAAGACCTTCGTAAGGAGTCTAAAAATAAGATTAAAGGATTGGTTTATTCCCTTAATGCCTCCAAACAAAGCGAGGAAATGTTGACATCAGATGCTGAACATATGAAAAAGTTGATGGAAACTGCTAAATCCAATGAAGATGTGTTAAGGAAGACTTCTAATGAACTAGAACTGAAGCTTAAATCCAGTGATTATGAGAAACAACAGATGCTGGAAGAAATATCTGGCCTGAAACTTCAGGTTCAGAAAATAACGAATCTTCAAGATGAGGTTTTAAAACTTCAGAGTTCTCTTGATGAGGCCAAGTTTGAAAAAGGGAAACTGGAGGAGTTTCTGCGCTCGGTGACTGAGGATTGTGAAGAACTAAAAGCACAGAAGGCTATGCTAACAGATAAAGTTTCTGATATGCAGGAGACTTTGAGAAATGGTGAAGAAGAAAAGCGAAACAGAATAGCTATGCAGGCAAAGCTCGTGAGGTTGGAGAGTGATCTATCAGCATCAGAAGCATCACATGTACATGAAGCAGAATTAAAGAACGAACTCAGTAGGATCAAGAGATCAAACAGTGAGTACCAGAGGAAGATACAATCTCTCGAGCAGGAAAATGAGGATCTCACCAGGGAGTTCAAATTATGGAAAAGGGTTTTGAGCAAATGTCCCACGTTAAAGAGAACCTTGGAAAGCAGGTTAGCCATTTGAAGTAAAGTACTTGCTATGATGATCAAACAATCCCTCCTTATTGATGTTTCTATCTGCTTGTGCCTTGTATTTTCCTGTGCTTGTAGGAGATTGGAGGAGATAACCAGGCAGCCATTCAGTCAAAAATTCAGTTACTGGAGACTAAGCTCGCAGAGGCATTGGAGGAAAATAAGATGTACAGAGCTCAACAGAAGAGGTACCCCTACCAGCACAAACCTAAATGTGTCCTGTGAGATGATGAGTGTACATAGAATGATAGGAATGTTGTATGTAGCTATTCTGTTTTGTTTTGAGTATGGCTAATGAGTTTGACATTAGAAGGGCAGGCCTGGTGCAGTGGTGAGAGCTGTCTCACTAAGTCACCAGGTCGTGGGTTCGAAGCAGCCTCTCCGCAGATTTTGCGGGGGAAAGGCTTTTCTCGGTTTATCCCTTCCCTAGACCCCACTCATGTGGGAGCCTCCGGCACTGGATCTGCCCTAATGAGTTTGACATTAACTATTTAGTTTAGAGGACAAGAATCACAAGCAAAGCATTGACCAGTACATGTTGAGAAAGTATGCCTTTTCTATACGTAATTTTCATCTAATCTTTAATTGAAAAACTGAAGTTTGGCAATCCTGCAAGGAAATCACACTCTGGGAGATGCTAGTGGTCTCATAGAGCAAATATTTTAATCTCATTAACCAATAGATAATGCCGTAATGGTGTGCCAGTAAAGTGACATCTTTTTTCTTTTTGCAATCATATACTAGTGCTTTTATTTGCATTCTGATGTAAGGTTGTGTAATATGTTGTGCATTGGAATCTGTTCATAGTTCTCACCTTATCTGAACTGCTACTTCATATATGAACTGGACCTTGTGACTCGACTGCAAATTGTTTATACAATATTGCGAGCAGGACAAACTTGATTGAGTTTAGTTTCATGTGTTAAAGTTGGAGCGCGCATTGCTAACTAACAGAAATATCGAAGTCAGTTAGTTACCACTATTGGTTTAGGATAGTATCCGCAATACTGAACTTGTAGAACAGAGTCCACAAGAGTTGGTCCTTTGTGATTGTTGGTTTTCCATGATAATATAAAAATTCTTTTTGTTTATGTACAGTCCGATGCCTGAGGGGCAATCTGCTGGTGGAGATGGCAAGGAGGGTAATACCGACAGGATTTTGCAGTTGGAAGGTGAACTAAGAGATATGAAGGAACGATTACTCAACATGAGCTTGCAGTATGCAGAGGTAGAGGCTCAGAGGGAACGATTAGTGATGGAGCTTAAAGCTATCAAGAAAGGCAGGTGGTTTTAGCACGATGTGGAATTGTTGCCTGACAAAACATGAGGCTGACAGCACAGGTACTGCATCTTTCTCGCCACACTGGCTGCACCCAATTATTAGGTGATAGTTGGACGCATCCGATAGCATTTCTTGTGAAACTGGTTTCAAACTTTATATCAAAAGGATCCCACCATCTGTTTTGGTGCTCAGACAGACACCTCCTTTTGCCCAACCAAATATAAAAAACTTAATTTATGGTTTTGTACAGATGGGCATCATCAAGCCGCGTTTTATCCATGCTTGTGGCATTATGAGGTTTATGTCAGATTATCATGTGAGAGCAAGCAAGTGCAGAGTCAGACATGATGTATCCTGGACCTGCTAACTGGTGCTGGAGGATGCGCTCCGAGACGACACTGAAGATCGAAGATCCCTGTGATGCGGTGAACTGTGAACCTGTGACTGCCCAGGCTTTGGGGATGCGGCCCTACACTATGATATGATGATCCCGTTGCTATTGGTATTTAACCTATTTATTTGTAATGGCGTGCCTTTTTATCTGGTATATATATACGCCAATTTGTGATGAGTTTGACTGGAGGGTGATGGTCAGTTGTTGATATGGTTACTCAGATCGATGACCCTCCGATCCCTCTGTTTTACATGATTGATTATACTGAAAAGAGTCAACCCCTTAATTGTCGATAAATGCAGTTACTCTATTCTATTTTGTGAGAGCAGTGAAGTGGCTGGGTTAGTAGCTAGCAGTCATTATATTGCACTCTGTACCATACAATACAATATTGTTGTAGTTTGGGTGTAGAATAATATAATAATGTGATGAAGGGAGCCTTCATGTAAGGTTGCAACTTGTTTTTTTACAGCGTATGCAGATTATGGATAATAATGAATGAAGTTGCCATGATGGTACGTGCATCACATTGTTGATGAAGCTTTTAACCCTCAGGAGGGTAAGTGCAGTTGCATTTCATTATTTTCCCATGTGTCTGGTTCCTGAAGCTTGCCCTGCAATTGTTGACACGTAGCCAGCTAAATTAGTGACCACACGATTGCATTGGTTTAGAAGAGTTGTAACTAATGATATACTACTAGTTAGCCAGTGTTTGTAATGGTCGATAGCACCGCTAGTCTAGATATATTTTAGGAGAGTGCGTAGTGTAAATTTTAAGGAGGGCGAAGAAGAATCAAGTGGCAAAGTAGTCCTACAAGTAGAGTACTTGGCAGTCAGTCAGTGGTCCCTCAAGAGAAGATGCATGATGAGAATGGATGCATGAGCCCTTGGATCACTCACTTGGATCACTTCAGCTCTGCCATGGCTGTTGGCTTGGCCTGTGTGAAACTGAAACAGAGGCAGCGGATCATCTATCTGATGTACTAGTATCATCATTTTGTAGTATGGCACAAGCGGAGGGAGCCGTGGCCGAGGAGTCCTAACCTGACTCATAGTTCAATCTCGCTCACGTTGGGTTAGTCACAGGCGGTCATGAAAACTGCTGAAAACGTAAAATGCTTGGCATGGTTATTCATTTATTTATGATTACTTGCCTTAGACATGTGGATAAAGAAGCTGTAGTTCTATGAAACAACTTCATTCAAAAGTAAGAGGAAGACAGATCCAGAGATAGAAAACCTCATATACGGCTTGTTCGCTGGTTGGTTTCTGGGCTGGTTTGAGCTGGCTGGTGCTGGTTTATTGTGAGAGGAAAACACTGTTGGCTGACTGGTGATAGGGAGAACTATAAATGACTAATTGAAAACCTCATATAGCCACGGGTTGCCACCCAGAAAAGTCTAGGACAATTAGAGGACTATGGTTAAAGGAAGTTTATATTTTAGGTGCCTATAAGTTTTTAGAAAAAAGAAATATTGGAGTCCGCCTACACCTTGTTCGCGACATCATCGAGAACGGTGGCGGTCGTCTCTAGCATCTCGTCTTCGGTGTCCTTTTCGACGGCATCCTTGTCGTTGGCCCCTCCTTCGTTCTTGGCGGGCTCCTTCCTCTCGGCGGCCTCCTTCCTCTTCGCGCGGGGCGTCGTCATCTCGACCGCAACAGGGACGCCACAGACTTCATGAGGCAGGTCAAAATACTAGACAGGATGCCCCCTACAACTGCCCCAAGCCCTGCCATTGCCTAGCGACTGAAGCACACTTTCTTGTCCACTGGTGCCGGGGCGCCGACGCACATGGAGCTGGCGGCGTTGCACACATGAGAAGCACTGCGTTGTTGGACTCCTCCAGTGCACACATCTCAATGTGAATCCAACGATGCAGTGCATAGGGGCATATGCCCTTAAGGGCATTAATTAGAGGACTATGGTTAAAGGAAGTTTACATTTTAGGTGCCTATAAGTTTTTAGAAAAAAGAAATCTTGGAGTCCGCCTACACCTTGTTCGTGACATCGTTGAGAACGGTGGCAGTCGTCTCTAGCATCTCGTCGATGATGTCTTCGGTGTTCTTTTCAACGACATCCTTGTCGTTGGTCGCTGCAGCTTCAGTAGTCTTGACGGTATCCTTCCTCTCGGCGGCCGCCTTCTTCTCGGCGGCCTCCTTCCTCTTCGCGTGGCAGCGCCGTTTGTTTCGATGGCAACAGCGATGCCACACACTTCAGGAAATCCAACGGTGCAGTGCGCAGAGGCATATGCACTTAAGGACATATTTAACTTTCCCCCTTTGGATCACTCACTTGGCCTCTGAAACTGAAACAGAGGCAGTGGATCATCTATTTGATGTACTAGTTTTATTTTGGTCGTAATATATATAGTATGGCACATATACATAAGCATACTGGATCCAATCCATCTCCTCAAAACTCGATCCGATCCATCTCCTCGGAACTCGATCCATCTCTTCGTCGTACGTCCCTAAAATCCTAGCTAGGGCATGCATGTAAGGTGGGCGGGGGGACAGCAGCTAGCGTCCTAATATCCTTCCATCGATCTGCATATATTAGCTAGCATTGGATACAATACAATGCAACTAATGTCGGAATAGAATGAAACAAAAATCGTAAAGACACACACACGCATGTCCTATGAGCACTTTCGAAAGATTGAGCCAACTGATATCAAAGCTGATAGAAGTCACCACATTAAATAATGAAATAACTCAAGAAAAATGCTGACACCCGTACCAAGTTGAGGACTTAAATTGAATGACCCAGATGACATGTTCCACCACAAGCTAGACAACCTAACTTTTTGCAGCCTTTTATCCCCCTTCTCTCTCCTCTCTCTCTCTCTCTCTCTCTCTCTCTCTCTCTCTCTCTCTCCTCCTCCTCCTTCCTCTTTTTTCCATTCCATATTCTTCCTTAGTTACCGCCTAGTGCTACTCACCGCTTCGCCTATGTTTCCTATGGTCTGCCTTCTCGCATAGCATCTCTGGCGTCACGCAGCTTGGACGAGCATCGAGCCATCGGTCAGCCGTGCTGCCCCTCTTCCTTGCAGATGAGGATGACGGAGGAGGAGAAAGGAGGAGGTGGTGGTGCCAAAGAGGAGGGAGGAGGAGGAGGAGGATGTAGTGTCAAAGTAAATGAGGGAGGAGGCGAAGATGGTGCCCGGCCTAAAGAATGAGGGAGGAGGCTGATGCAGTGACAGAAATAAAGGAGGGAGGAGGCAGAGGTGCGGCGCCCTAGAGAAGGAGGGAGAGGTCTAACGAGTAGGCCCCACTGCCATTTGTCATTGGGATGTAAGCAAAAACACCATTGAAAGTAGCTAGGTGGTCAAATATGAACGACTTTAACAGTACAATGGCTAAGATTTCTAGGTTATGAGTTCAATGGTCAAAAGCATACACAAGCAATAGTTTTGTGGCCCAAAATGGACTTCTCCCTTTTTCAAATTACACCTCGACAAAGTTGAGGCAAAGATTCATCAATGTTGAAAAGTAAATTTTGAGGCTTGGTAGTTGAAGGCTGAACTCATGACCCAAGCCCATAACTAACTTTTTTGTCTTCATATTCATAATATACACGCAACTGTTCTAGTTATCAACATCCACCTTATATACCACTACCCCAGATCAGGACACCACTGTTGGTTCAAAATCCCCCTTCACTGTCGGATTTTTAACCGGCAATGGCATACTAGCAGTGATGTAGGGTTCACATCACTACCAGTTCTCAGAACCGCTAGTGATGTGCAGGCAATACTGTCGGTTCCTGGCACCAACCGGCAGTGTCAGTTGAGCCAACACTGCTGGCTTATGGCTCAAGCCGACAGTGATGCTCAAGCAAACACTGTCGGCTTGTGGCACGAGCCGACAGTGATGCTCAAGTCAACATTGCCGGCTTGTGGCTCAAGCCAATAGTGATGCTCAAGCCAACACTGCCGGCTTGTAGCTCAAGCCGACAGTGATTCGCAAGCCAACACTACCGGCTTATGGCTCGAGCCAACAATGATGCTCAAGCCAACACTACCGGCTTGAGCTTTGAACTAGCAGTGTTGCTCAAGACATCACTGCCGGCTTGACATGCAAACCGGTAGTGATCTTGTTTTCGTATTTTATTGTTTTATATAATTTATTTTTTATTTTTTTGGTGGAATCAGATTTCGCTTTATATTCGCTACATAGTCGATAGGTCCATCAATATTAAACATTACAAATATTACGGTTACAGTTCAAATGTACTTATGAAGCTCTCGATCCCTTGAAATAAAAAAGAAATTACAATAGTCTAGCGAGCCGCTCTTGCCCGTACTGCGCCTTGTACTTCACGGACTGTGCAATGGAGAATGTTCCTTTTTTTCCAAGCACTCCGATATGATGAAGGCTGCTAGCTCCGATGACAGTGTTATGACCTCCATTTCTAACAGTCTATTGTGTTTAAATTTCTGGCACTGTCATTCAAAAAAACCGGTTTCGAAAGGCAGAAATGTTAGAGAAATAAGCAGATCGTTTTGTTGAATTAACAGATATAAATGAAATGGGGATTATACATACCAAAGCATCTACCGCCTCCAATTTTATTCCAAGGTAGCGAAGCATTGCCCATATTACGTAGAACCCGCATTTATTGTTTCCCGCCGGCTGGTCTAGGGTCTTCAATTGCATTGGTGCAACCTGAAATGGGACCTTCGTTCCACCAACCATTCTTGCCTAGACACTGTGCCACATTATAAAGTGTGAAAAAGGGGCAACATTAGAATATGCTACGTGCGATTAGAAAATAATATGTTATTAGGTTCGCTTACACATTAAGCACTTCGACTAGGGGATCGAGCAAAGAAAGTGGCTTTTTCTTCGAGTCCCACACCTTGATACGATTTCTTTTAATATCGACAACAATGAAGACGAAATGGTTGCTTCAATCACAAAACCCTAGTTAACGAATAATTGTAACTACAAAAAACAAGCATAAAAATAAGAGTAGAGAACACATACTCACAGTTGTTGGCTAAAAGTATTTTGGTTTTATTACTCATCTTGAAATTTTCAAAAATGGCAGTCAGTGTCTCCGTTAGATCTTCCACTTTTATTTCCATGCATGCCTCCGCATGTTCTCTCGTTGACTAGCTCAGGGTCTTGGAAAGACATATGAGCGTACTTTGTTTTGAAGCAATGTTTTGCTACACACCTGCATAATTCATGGGGAATATGCAGTTGTTAACTATTTGTGTATCGAGAGAGTAGTTAATTATAATATCGTCCGAGTAGGGTACTTACATAGTCCACAACGTCAATATTTATGTATCGAGATCGCATCTCTGGAATAGCTGAAACAAGTGATCCCAACCTACAAAGTGCTTCTCTTCATTAGGATAATGGAAAACATGCTTTAACATTTATATATTCGAAACCCGCCTGCCCCATCTCAAGTGCTTCGGCCATGTAATGATCATGCAAGTCATGCATATATGTTGTCAAATTTTTATACTCCTCGTCCACCAAGAAATTGCCTCTTTGAAACTACATTATCGGTCTTGCTGTCTCATATGGTAGTGAATCATAATAGATGTTCATGGCATCATCCCTGCTTAATCCGGGGTTGTCTTCAACAATCTTGTTTATCTTTCTTTGATCTTCATGGTGTATTTCTTTGACTCTTAATTGATTGTGCTTACTCTCTGTTTGCCTATTGAATTCAAACTGCACCCTCCACTTAGGCAATGAGGCAAATAGATTCCAGAATCTAACTTTGTCTTCCTTGGAGGCTACTTCTGGCTTTTGTTGGTTCATCAAGTTTGTAATGCTGCCACTCATCGTCCTTTTCTTTTTTTTGTTGGTCCACTTTGGGAGCATTAGCGATCGAATCCGAGGACCTTTTCTATGACTGTGAGGATGCCTTAGATCTTGTTTTGGGCTGTTGTGGAGGATGAGGACGAGAATTATGTTTTCTCGGGGGTGATGAAGAGGGAGGAAGAGGAGGAGGAGTCTTCTCTTTTCTTGGGGCTGATGAAGATGGAGGACGAGGAGGAAGAGAAGGAGACTTCTGTCTTCTTGGGGGTGATGACAAGGAATCAGGGAAGGTAGTGTGATCTTCTCTGTTGGGAGATGGTGAGTGATCATCTTTGGGCGGCGAAGATTCACCGTCGTCCTCATCATCATCCGAAGACAACTGGCGATCAAGCTTAATGAAGCGCTTGCGCCAGGCCACATGAGCGCCCTTGTTCTGAACAAGGCGTTGCCTGTCTTCCTGTGTGGGGTAATCAATGTGCATCTTGTTATACTTCTTATCAAGTATAGTATCAATGCTGGCGTGGGCATACCCCGTTGGAATTGGGCGGCCATTAATGGTCCCGTCTCCCACAGGCCAGACCTGGCCGACTACCACCTTGTTAGTTGTCCATTGTTGATGGATGTACAACCTGACATTGACAGGTTCGGTGATGCTGTCCACCGGATGAGGCGCATTCACCTCTTCATCGTCGAGTGGGGTCGATCCGTAGCTACTATGACCCCTGAACTGTGGGCTAAAGCTAGTCGGAAGAGGTTCTTGTGGTACTACTCCTGATACCATGGATGCCATAAGTACATTGACTTTTTCTTGAACCCTCTCATCAATCCGTTTTTCGAATTTGTTTTCCATCTCTTTTAGAACCCTCATATACTGTAACACCTCTGGTGTTACGAACTTGCTTATTACCGAGGTTGAGGCCCGAGAAAGAGATTAGCCAAACAAGTTTTCGGGTTTTAAAAATTTATAACGCGTATAAAATGATAAGTGAATCCTTTGTGACTTACTTTTGTGGACTCAAATAAATATCCAAGTTAACCTACTTAGTGCATAAAATGTGCTAATGAAAATCCTAACAAGAAAAATAGGATAAATCGTTTTAATTGTTTGGTACAAAAAATAATTTATATAAAACAAAAATAAAATATAACTTGTGTGTAGTATTTAAGTAGAATTGAGGAGCAAGTGGTGTAGTTGAAAATGCAATTTTAAATTTTGAAAACAAATGTTATTAACTAGTGTTCTTGAGAGCTCAAAAATCGAACCTAAAACTAAAAATCAGTCGTTCCGTTGAATCAGCAAGAATTTGGATTTATGTTTAAAATGTCATTTTTGACGAATTATATTGAGCAAAATAGTTAAATGGTGCTTAGATATTTTGCCCCTATGAGTTAGCACGAAGTATGGACTATTGTGCGAAATACTTGTTG